CATGAAAGCTAAGACCAAGGTTCACCATACTACTAAACACAACTATGAAGATGATACAACTTTAGGGAAGAGAAAATTTAGAGGACATGTGATTGCAAATCAGTTTTCATGTGAGATATTATTATGTGTGGAGCTTAACTAACAATAAGAAGTGCCCAAGTATAGTACAATGACAAATCCAAGGCCTAAGGGCTCCTTGCACTTGACAAATGGTAACCTAGTGCGAGAGAGGCGCTCTCCCAAAAGGCTCCCATGCACAAACCCATCACAAGTAAGGGTTCTTAGGTACATAGAAGACTCATTTCCAACATTCCAGAAAAGTGCACCAGAAAACTCGACTCAAGTGAATAGCACCGATGCACATATAATTGATTTCTCCAGTTCAAGGCTTTAAGTTTCATGTTTCTTTGCTTGGGAGGTGCGTGCAAATAGTGCAAAACAGTGTTATGAGTTGGTGTCAGATTTCTATGAGTTCTCTTATGTGAAAGAGAAAGGAAAAGAGCATTCATGAGTTCTAAGAGAGTGGAGAAGATTGAGTGTGGTGCAATAAGTACAATTTCTCTCATCACTGTAAATTTCTTGATGTGTTGTGGCTCCGTGAAAAATTTTCCCTATTTTTGCATTTTTTCACGTTAAATCTTAACGTTCTTTGCATATTTTTTTTGGGAATTACTTATTTATATGCTTTTGTTCAAGTATTTTATTTCGGATCTCTCAAATCAGTTTTACGTTTTTATCATACTCTCATTATACATTATCCTTTTGAGAAACTAATAGAACTTACTTCAAGGATATTGTTTCTAACGAATAATTAATATGAATTTAGCCAAGATTTGCTGATCCAATATTACTAGACCACTTTCATTATCTCCTTCTATGAATATGACAAGGATACTCTCATATTAACACCAGTTTTTTCTCTTAATAAATGGATATATAAAATCTCTATTATATCATTTTAACCTTTTTATAGATTCTTTTGTCACCTTACTCATCATTGATTACATGATTTCACATTTCTTTTGGATTTTTAGTGATTAAATTATTGTTATCACATAAGTTTTCTTAATGTAAAGAGATAATTATCTCATTTTTTTATGACGATTCATTGTATTCCATGTCAAACTATAAATTGCTTTAGTTAGGAAACAACAATTAACAACAGTTTTATCTTGATATAATTCAGTCAAATTAAAGCATAACAATGTTTTGCTTATCAAGAATATCTCTAAACATGTCTCTTGAAGTGTAATTCACCTTAAAGAGCCAACCTTTTTCAAAGGTTGGTCAATCTAAATTTTTATGGGACTTTTTGACATTGATCATATGTCATTTTTGAGTTTTTTAGGTCGATTTAGATAAGATTTATTTGTGATAGCTTCACAATGACTCTTCCCTCAAACGTTGAGTTGAGTAAATTCAAGATTATGTGCGAACAATGACAAAAATCAAGCTGAACATAAACTTGGAAATGGAAGGATCACACATGGACTTCTTGATACTAGTCTCTGGTTGATTCATCTGGCCAACACGAATAGAGGGACATTGACCATCTGAGATGTGGGAGAAATAGGCAAAATCGGCGACAACTAAAGATTTTGAGGGTTCATTAAATCAATCCTTTGGTAGCTTTATTGATGGAGGATGTGAGATATTTATAGGGAGAGATAAAATGAATGAGGGGCCATAAAATGCTCTCATGGAGACTATGAAAATTGAGATTGTCATCACCAAGAGACTTTGTGTGCTAAAAGATGAGAGTGGCAATGTCACAATCATTACTACTATCAAGAATATTAATTGCATTCTTAGATTGTCCGTTGTGTGAGAGCCATGTGTGCTTACTTATGAATTAACTGTGATTTGAGTTTAACTCATTTTTTTTTTGAAAATATTAAAATTTAAATATTTTACTTTTTAATATTTTAAAAATATTTTTATAAAAAATGCAAAGTATGAACACTATAATTTTATCATTTCAATTATTTCGTTAAAAAAATAAGAATAATCTAAAGGATTCATGTTTGAGAGATTTATTTATTGAGACTTCAATGTCAAAGGTTATATGAAATGCCGTCTATCTCATTGTTTAGCGTTTAGCATTCAGGCCTACTTGGAGGTTAGAAAATGAGTCTATTGATAATATAAATAGCCAACTTGTAGGATAATAATTTGGGAAAAACTTTTCGTAGGCTATATTTTTTTTTAGTTTTTTTTAAGACACAAATAAATTCATGTACTTCACATAGGCAGCGTTTAACTACAAGAAGGATTTAGCGTTAATAGGATTTAGGTTGTAGATCAAATTTACGTTTAATAAGACTTATGTAATCCGATAAATCCAGATTACACAAACGACAGGAGGAGCTCGTGCGAAGACGAAATAAATCCGTCTTGCGATCAGATTTACAAAATACAGAATGTGAGAAAAAAAGCAATAGAACACCATGAAATTCATTTTAACGATGTGTTTGAATTATTTTTCATTTTTTTGATTTTTAACTATATTTAAGTTAAATTCATGACTAAATCCGATAATAAGCAGGTTACAAAACACCCTCTTAATTAATCCAATTTATTAAATCCTTATTTGCTGATTTATTAAATTCAAATTTAAGATGAATCAAGACAAAATAATCTTAAATCTGAATTTCTAATTGCATTACACTTTTAATATTTAACTGAATTTCCTAAATCCAATACATAAATCCTATTAATATGGTCGTACCAAACACCCATAAAAACTTAAACGTTTTAATTAAAAGATAAAATTCTCAGCCGCCTCGAGTTGCCTGCATTTTTTCCTGTCGTTCTTTCAAAAATAAACTTCACCGGTCGAAGTTCTTTACCCGAAACTCGGGTAGCCGGTCGTCGAGAGGGAAGGATGACGGTGGCTGCGGGGCTAGGGTATGCTCTAATTGCCCTAGGCCCGGCACTCTCCATCTTTGTCTCCGTCATCGCCAAGAGACCCTTCCTCGTCCTCACGCTTCTCTCCAGGTTCCTCTCGTTCCCTCTTCGCTCTTATTATTATTTTTAGGATCTGTCAAATCGTAATTGTAACGAAACAGCCACTTAATAAGATTCTGAGTGCCGAGTGAACTTTAGCTATTTAATCATTTGATCTTGCATAAGCTGAGAAAATTTCAGTCATAATTTGGTAGAAAATAATTGTCATAATCCCAAGCTTGTGGCTGTGATTTGTTGGCACAGCACACTGTTTTGGCTTGTAAGCTTGATTCTTCTTTCGGGAGTATGGAGGGCGTTTCTTCCTGTTAAGTCATCGGCATCGTGGACTTATGCGATTGTTATACTCACATCAGTTAGCTTCCAGGAAGGCGTCCGTCTTATCTTCTGGAAACTGTACAAGTAGGTCGTCTGATGCTTTAGCTCTTTGTGTTGCACGAACTGTTATGTTCTGATAGGAGGGTTTCTGTGGAGAACGCAGGACCTTATGTGCTTTTGTTATGATGATGATGTAAGGATTGATTCTCGTAATTTTGTTAGGAGACTTGAAGAAATGTTGAATTCCTTTGCAGACCGAACATCCAAGCCTCGCCTCTTCCTTACTGATAAGATGCAAATTGGACTCGGTATGGCATTCTTACTTGACCTTCTTTACATAATTACATCAGTTTATTTTCTTTGTAATGGATGATTTGTTGTATTTAATGTGATGGCATTCTTACTTGACCTTCTTTACATAATTACATCAGTTTATTTTCTTTGTAATGGATGATTTGTTGTATTTAATGTGATCAGTTTCATGTCTTTAACTAAGATGCTTTCTTTTTGAATGGGGAAAACCATTTTTTAATAACATACTAGTAGATTCGTGGTGGCTAGAAGGAACACGTTCCTTCTCTTTTTTCTAAACAAAATTGGCTGTTATAGTTTTCAGCATTTGAAGGCAATGCTAGAACGACTGGTCATTTTATGGAATTACTATTTGCTAGATTTTTTTCAATGTATAATATGGCGGGGACTCTTGTCAGATTATGGCATTATTTTACTGGAATTTAGCTATTAGGTATTGAACAGTGGTCTAAACATTGGAATTAGGTACTTGATTTTTAGGAGCATACTCTTTAATTGTCTTTAAAGGTTCATTCTCATTTTTAGACCACTTTCTCATGCTAATAGGTGCAAAAATACTTATTGGCAGAATTAGCACATAAATTTGTTAATAGGTCTAAACTTTTTAATATTATTTTAAAAACTGAAAAGGTTCCTGAGGAGTGGAGGAAGACTATTTTGATCCCATTTTTAAGAATAAAGAGGATGCACGAGAGTGTAATAATTATAGAGAAATTAAGTTAATGTGTCATACTTTAAAATTGTGGGAGACAGTATATAAACATAGGTTAAGATGTGATACAAAGATTTCTCGTAATCAGTTTGGATTCATGCTGAGCAAGTCTACTATGGAAGCTATGCATTTATTGAGTGGTTTGATTGAGAAGTATAGAGAGAGTAAGGAGGATCTACATATGATTGTTTTGATTTAGAAAAGCTTACGATAAGATTTCAAGAGAAGTTCTTTATAGAGTTCTTGGAAATAAAGAGGTTGATATGATTTATATTCAAGTCATTAAAGATATGTTTACTATAGCTTTTGCTTTTGTTCGGACAGAAGGAGGATTGATCATCATTTGGATTAAATCAGAGATTGTCTTTAAGGCGATATCGTTGTGCTTTAGTTTTGGATGCCCTTACTAGATTTTAACTGGTGTATGCTTTTTGATGATGATATCCTTCTTGTGGATAAGACTAGAGAAAGAGTTAAACAAAAAAAATTAAATTATGGAGGCCTACTTTAGAGTCTAAAGGCCTTTGTTTGAGTATATCTAAAACTAAATACATGGAATGTAATCTTACTAGCGGAAGATCTAGTGGCAAAATTGTAACAATGGTTGATCAAATCATTAAAATGAGTGAACGTTTTAAATTTCTCAGGTCTATTGTTTTAAAATGATGGAGCTATAGATGAGGATGTTATTAGTAGAATTCAAGTTGGATGATTGACACGGAGGAATGCATCGGGCCTATTGTGTGATAGAAAAGTAATGCTAAGACGTAAAAAGTTAATTTTGTAAGATGGTGGTGAGCCCTGAAATGCTTTTTGGCAAAAAAAGTTGGCCAATGAACGAGAAGCATAAAACAAAGTTAAGTGTTGTTGAGATGATAAGGTGGATGAGTGGCTTTAATTTAGAGACAAAATGCGAAACAAATATATCCGTGAAACTGTTGGTTTAGCTCTCGTGACAGACAATATTAGAGAGAGTTGTATTAGATGGTTTAGTCACATTAAACGTCTACCATCTGATGATCCGATTAGATAATTTAGATTCGACTTATGTTAAGAAGGTAGAGGTAGATCTAAAGAAACTTGTGCATTTTTTATGAAAAATGATCTTAATTCATTAGAATTAAATGAAAATATGACACTCAATATGACACAATGTAGAAAAAAGATTCATGTAGCTGACCCTACTTAGTGGGATAAAGGTTTGTTGTTGTTATTTTTGAATTAGCACATAAATGAATGGAGTACTAAAAGGATGCTTAAATGCAACCTTTATTATAATATTTGATACTCAGTTTTATAGTGGAAATTTTTTTGTGATGTGGCTCCGTTGTTTTTTCTCGTTCTCGGGTTTCTCGATGTTAAACTCTGGTGTATTTTCTGGAATTATTTTTGTTGCGCTTCTGTTAGAAATTTTTGTTATGATTTTTTTGAATTAATGCAATCCTATTTTGCAGTGTGGTTTTGATTCTAATTGGATCAAAGTGCTACTAGAAGTAAGGGAGATTCCCATCATAATCCCAACAAGATCAACCTTAAGCCCATATTGTTTTGCTTTTGTTATGAATATTCTTACTAGACATTTGGAGGAGGATCTACCTTGGTGTATGCTTTTCATTGATGATATCTTTTTTTGTGGATAAGACTAGAGAAAGAGTTCAAGAAAAAAAACTTGACTTATGGAGATCAATTTTAAAGTCTAATGGCTTGTTTTTGAGTAGAGCTAAGATTAAATAAAAAGAATGTAATTTTAGTTGTAGTATCTATGGTGCCGGGGTTGTAACAATGAGTTTTAAATATGGGTGATCAAGTCTTTAAAAGGAGTGAACGTTTTAGATATCTGGGGTTTATTGTTCAAAGTGATAATGATATAGATGGGGATGTTATTAGTAGAATTCAACTTGGTTGATTGAAGAGGAGGAATGCATCAGGTCTATTGTGTGATGGAAAAAGTACTGTTTAAATTTAAAGAAAGTTTAATAGGATGGTGGTGAGACCTAGGTGGTGAGACCTAATATGATGGTGGTGAGACCTACAATGCTTTATGGTGCAAAATGTTGGCCTATAAAAGAGAAGCATAAAACTAAACTAAGTGTTGCTAAGCGACTACTTAGGTGTATGAGCAGCTTTACATTTAAAAAAAACAACAAAGTGAATATATCCATAACATGTTTGGTGTAGCTCCAGTGGTAGACAAGATTAGAAAGTTTCTTCGTAGATTGTTTGTTCCCATTAAACATCGGTCATCTGTTTAATTGTTTGCTGACCCAGTTTGGAGAGTATATGTTTTAACTTTGACTTGTGTTAAGAAACGTAGGAGTAGACCTAGAAAGACTGGGGCATGATCTTTATTTATTAGAATTAAATGAAAATATGACACTCAAGAACACAGTGGATAAGAATGGTTCATATAGCCGACCCACTTATTAAGATAAAGGTTTGTTGTTGTTGTTGTCCTATCGTCTATTCCTGCTTTTATCATTCCAAACCCTTATGTTTGATTGGACAAAAGTGGTATTAAGACATGAGGTTTGGGGTTAAGTGATATAATCATATTGATAGAGCTAGTAAAATAATTATGAAAAATTAAAAGAGAGAAGTTTGGAATTTTAAGCGAACTTTAACTAGGTCGTATTTCACGCAAGCAAATGGATCAACATGAGAAAGTGGGAGACAAAATATGGTGGAATAAGAATTACAATTAATATCATTGTGAGCACTAATGCTCTAACTCAAATGATGATGGCCTTGACGTAACTAATTTAGGATCTTAGATCATAGCTGAATAAAAGTAATATTTTTGCTTTGGGTAGATACTTAATGATATTTCAAGATCTACAACCATTTTTGCTCAAGAGAACTGAAGGTTTGATTGAACCGAAGAATTCATATAAAAATTATTTTGCTACATGACATGCCTTGATGAAATGGAGAGTATCGTTAGCTATATTTTTTTTGGATGAAGCAGCAGAAAGGTGAAGACTTGAGCAATATCAGGATAGGTGAAGGAACGTACCAAATATGATGATAAACTAGGAGAATTTTGTTGAACTGTTAAGTGAATAGTCAGTCTCTTTTTGTACGAAGACAGATGCATGATAAATTTATCAGGCTAGTGCAAAGAAAGAAGGAAGTTATGCAATATAAGACAATTTATTAAACTATTGAGATACACATCATAGGTAGTATTGACTATAAAAGAGAAGTGTTATAGGTTCATATTTGAATTGAAGGATTCAGTTAAGTAGTGGTTGTAGCCTTTAGGGATGACGACTATTCTATGTTATGGAGAGGGTTAGGTGGGTGGAAATAAAATTTCAAATTGCTTAGAAGCGTTAGGAGTTGCACAGGAGGAGTACTTATGAGAGAGAACATCTGGCTCAATTAGAAGGATCCAATGGTAAGAAACCTAAGTTTTGTCTCGATATGGTCAATGGTGATACTATCACGGTACCATTGAGTCTTGTGTTAAATGTGAAAAATATCACAAGGGTGAATGGCTTATTGGGCTACAACACATGCTATTGGTGTTGTAAGCCTGGCCATATTGTGAGATATTGTCCTAAATTCGAGTAAAAGACATCGAAGGAACACAAAACAAGTGAAGCTCTTTTACCAAAAATTATAGGAGGGCAAAGGATGATAGAGTCAGCTGCTTTAGCTCTAACTCAGAGCCAATGAAAATAGATATGCAATCATGAGTATATGGTCTTTCTCATAGAAACCCTGAAGAACATTATTGTGGATAAAGATGCTGACAATTTTTTATCAAGCATTATTATATCCACTATGGTATTAAAAAATTATCTTATGTGAATTGTCTTGTTGTACTTAGAAGTGTGTTTAAAATTGGTACACATTTTGTATTACTTTCATTTGGAATGATTTTCTGATAGTAGAATTGCTTAGCCTTCTCTTATTGGGTAATACTGTGATGAATGATTCACTTGCTAGACAAATCTAATAGCCCATAATATATAAATTTTGGGTTGGAAATTTTGTAAGTGGAGAAGATTGAAACATTTGGTATATAATAGAGGATTGAAATTGGCTAGTGCCATTTTAGCTGAATTGACGCTATCAATTTCTTATTGTTAAGAAGCGAGTTAAGATGGGGTATGTGCAAGATAGAGGTACAGAAAAAGGGAAAAGGGTGGGAGACAAAGCGAAAGAACGAGCTTACAAAGGAGGAAAGATGATGTGGTTGGGTGCAACATCCAGGCCTTGTGTAGGAAGCTTGACAGAGGCATGAAGCTTGAGTCATGCTCACAGCTTCCGTGCTTGCGT